ACAACTCATCTGGTCTGTTTCTGAGTTCAGTTTTTTTTCAGATCCTATGAGTGAGATCATGCAGTACTTGTCTTTCTCCGTCTGACTTATTTCACTTTGCATTATGGTCTCAAGGTCCATCCATTTTTTTATAAATGGCAAGATTTCCTTTTTTATAGTTGAATTATGTCTATGTATACATTTTCTTTATCCATTCATCTATGGGTAAAGACTTAAATTTCCCTCTCTGACTTTTATTTGAGTGAGGTGGAGGTCATTGGATGGATCTGAGCACAGGAAAGACATAATTTATCATTTAAAAAGAATTCCCTTGATTCCTGTGTTGGAGTGCAAGTACAGAAGTAGGGAAATCATTGACTTAAACTACTTGTGTGCAGTTTCATAAAGAACTGCCATGAATCCAAGACGCTCTTATCAGGGGACTTTCCCAGTGATCCAGTGGTAAAGACTCCGCACTTACATTGCAGGTGGCATGAGTTTGATCCCTGGTTGTGGAACTAAGATCCCACAACCTACAGGGTGTGGCCAAAAAAAAAAAAAAAAAAAAACCCAAGATAAAAAACCACTTTTATCAGATATCATCTAAGTTTCACTATCAAATATTGCTTGATCCTTATAAACCAAGTATATTATGAGTTACTTTGTGCATAGTACAATTGCATTACTCTAAAAGTATGCTGAAATCAAGGTTTTCAGTAGTTTATTAACTCCTTTTCTGCAATGGTATGGATTGGAGACAGTTTGCTGGAGGAAGAGAAGACCCTTTTCTTTCTCTGCTGGCAGTGGCATGTCCCTCTCCCTCATCATTCATGTCTTGGAGACCCAAGAGACGAGTAGGAATAGAGGAAAGGAGCTGGTAGGGCAGTGATGCAGCCTTGGGGGTGGCTTGCATTTGCTTAAGGCTTTGCCTTAAGGTAGACTTCCCTGGTGGCTCAGAGAATAAAGCGTCTGCCTACAATGTGGGAGAGCTGGGTTCGATCCCTGGTTCGGGAAGATCCTCTGGAGAATGAAGTGACAACCCACTCCAGTACTCTTGCCTGGAAAATCCCACGGATGGAGGAGCATGGTAGCTTACAGTCCATGAGGTCGCAAAGAGCAACTGAGCGACTTCACTTTCACTTTGCCTTATGGTGCAACTAATCTCTGTGACTTTGTGACAGTCTATCCTCCGTTGGTTCAAAGATAGGTGAGAGTAAAGGAAGAGGGAATCAGAAAAACATCCACTCTGCAGAGCGGAGGTGGGTGTGAGCAGGAAATGACACCAGGACCACGGTATTAGGATCTTGGCACCTCGGGTTCCTCGTCTGGAGAGAACAGTGCCCACCTTCTATAGTGATTTTGGGATGAGTGAGATAATCCACCTAAAGTGCTTTGCACAGTAGCAGGAACTTAGCAAGGACTTTAAAATAGTTACTGTCATCATGCTATTTATTTGTTTCTTGTATTTTTAAGGGTCTTCCCAGGTGGCTCAGATGGCAAAGAATCTGCCTCAATGCAGGTAACTGGGATTTGATTCCTGATTCAGGATGACCCCCTGGAGAAGGGAATGGCTACCCACTCCAGTATTCTTGCCTGGAGAATCGTGTGAACAGAGGAGCCTGGCAGGTTACAGTCCATGGGGTCGCAAAGAATCAGATACGATTGAGCGACTAACACTCACTCACTCTATAGTTTTAAGCATTTAACTCATTCATCATAATCATAATTTTATTCTTTGATTTGACAGTAATTTGGTGATTGAATTTAAACATGCTACACATTTTTATGAGAGCATCAAAGCTCCAGATATTATTTAGTGAGAAGCTAAATTCTGTGGAGGTTTATTTGACTGAGATTAAGGCTGAAGACCTCTTTGTAGAGTATGTCCAATGCCTACTTTCTCAGGACTTTTATTTACTAATCCACTTTAGAAAGTGCTCAGTACTAATTTTCTTTTTCCTGAGTTTCTCTCCACAGTGAATAGTGCTATCTGGCAGTTTTAAGTGGGCACAATGTCTTTATTTCAACACACACACACACACACAAACACATGCACACACACTCACATATATAAACCAGGCACAGTATTACATTGAAAACAAACTCAGTAACAGGCCCAGTGCTTGGTGGGCTGGGTAAGAAGCTGGTATTCACATGAGCAGTTTGAATCAAAAGAAATACCTTTACAACAACTTTTAAAAAGCAGATTTCATTTTCTTTTGGAAAAAGTAAAAATGTACTACTAACCTTAAAAGAAAAAGTGCCCAGAAAACAAAGTTTGCTTGTTAATAGTCCTCCCTTGTCACTCATGTGTAGAGGAAGCTTATTTTTTCTATCCATTTACTATTTCTGGGAACATTTCCAATTTGGGCATAAATTTACACATTTCAAGGGGCTTCTACTGTTTTTAATACTTGTTTCTAAAACAATGTTTTTGTTTTCTATTTATAAATTGATACATGCATAGTGTAGGAAAATATGAGAAAGAAAAGAAAATCACCTTTAATCCTTTCATCTGAAGATAATTTCTGTCAACATTTCAGTTTTGCTTTCAGACTTAAAAAAATACATTCTTTCTATGGTTACAAAGGTGAAGTTATGTGATATATACAATTTTTTAGCCTGCCTTTTCCCTTTACATTTTATCATAAATATTTTCCTATGCTATTAAAAATTCTTCATTTTTAAGGTCTGCCAAATAAAGCCATGTACAGATGTATCATAGTCTACTGAATTAGTTCCCCGTTGTGATAGTGGGGTCTCAAAGTTTTGCTATAGTAAATAATGCAGTGGTGAACATTTTTGTGTATAAAGCTTTTGTCAGGTTATTGCCTCGAGATTGGTTTCTGAAAGAGAAATGAATGGGTCAAAATATGTGAAAACTTCTAGGGGTTCTGATAGGTATGGAAAGTCCTTTCCAGAAAGATTCAACCAGTTTGCCCTCTATGGGACTTCAAAGCACCATGCGCTTTCAAACATTTATCTTTTAGAAACATTATTTTCTTTTTTTACTTTTTAGAGGGTTTTTTTTTAATGCTATTTTTATCCTTTTTGATGACACAAAGTAGAGTAACATCAAGTATTGATAATAACTTAGAAAACTGAAAACAGCCATAAAGGGAAATCATTGACCTACATGTACGGAAAGAATTTGTAAGAAGCGTGCATGATATCTTACACACTTCTTACAAATTATTTCTATACACCTTGATCAATAATTTGGGATTCCCTGGTGGCTCAGTGGGTAAAGGATCTGCCTGCAATGCAGGAGACATAGGAGATACAGGTTCGATCCCTGGGTTGGGAAGATCCCCCGAAGGAGGAAATGGCAACCCTCTTGCGTGTTCTTGCCTGGAAAATCCCATTGACAGAGGAGCCTGGTGGGCTACAGTCCAAAGAGTCCCGGAGAGTCAGACATGACTGAGTGACTAAGTGCATAGCACACATGCATCATATCATAATATTTGAAAATGGTTTTTTCATGTTTTGTGCATATGTCAGGTATGAAAACTCACTGACAGCAGCTGGAATTATTCTAAACTCTAAGACTTAAGACCAGAGCTTTGGAAAAAATTAAGTAGCAGTATGTAACTAAGTTTGATAAACTGGATTGCAACTGCCAGGTTATTAAAAAGAGTTTTAAAAAGTAATATATACCTCATTTTTTAAAATGAGCCAACTATTTTAAAAGAATGCTAGAAGAATTTGTGAAGTATATTTTCAGTGACTTTCTTTCTCTGAAAGGGAAACTAGCATTTTAGTTGTTTTAAACTGTATGCAGTATTATTTATAGCACTGGTTCTCAAAGTAGTCTCCAGGCTAGCAGCAGGTGCATTTGTAAGAAATACAAATTCTCAGACTCTAAGGTCTAATAATTGGACACTCCTAGCGATGTGTTTTAACAAGACCTCTTGATGCTTCTGGTGCATCCCCATGACTGAGAACCACTGACTGATAATTTATTTATTTATTTATTTATTTTGAGTTTCACATTAACTGGCACTTTATTTTGCTTAAAACCTAAACATTGTCAGTTTCAGAAGAAATCCATGGTGATATATAGATCTCCCCATTTTAATCTTAGGGTTTTTTCTTTTGATCCCTGGTAAAATTTTTTATCCAAGAAACAGAATAGATACATATATATATTTAAAAACATGAACCATTAGAGAATGAAATAGGAAATCAGAAAGATTTAAGTTTTGGCGGCCCTTGCTTTTTTTAAGTTCTTTAAAGACTGTAGCTGAATAAAAGGATCACTGGCTCTGAGTCTCCTAGAGATAACAAGTGATGAGACTAAAAACAAGCAAACCTATATCCTCAAACAGGGTCAGGAAACCTCAATTCCCTGCCTTGCCCCACAGTAAAAAACATGAATACCTTTAGTAGCAGTTCAGAATTCGTCTTTCTCTCCTACCTGTCCCAACAGTGGAAATTTAACATCATGATTTTTTAGACATCCGTATTTTTGTATATAGAATATAAACTTGCATTAGATGACAACTGATTTTTTTTTAAATTCAGGTAGAGAAAGAAGCAATAACTTTTAACTAAAACCTTCTACATTTTTTTTATTATTGTTCAACTTGCTACAATTTAGCAAAAAGCAAAATTTTCATAGTGTTTACCTCAAATCTTATTGCTTTACAACTGTGGCATATCCTCCATTGAAAATAAAAAGATGAAGCAGTCAATCCAGTGATTAATTTAACATGGCTTTCATTGGGAAAAGGGGAGGGGGGTGGAAAGAGGGGGTCATGACGAAGAGACCGATAGAAAAAAAAGGTAAATTAAACATACAATGCTTTTCTTAAAAAAAGAAAAAGAAGAAGAAAAGAAGAAAATGTTATTTTCAACAAAAGGGAAAAAAAGCATTGAAAGTCCATGAGTCAAGCCATAGCCAAGACCATATTCTATCTTAAGTAGCTTTTCTTTTTTTTTCTTTTTTCCTTTTCTCTCTCTCTCTCTCTCTTTTTTTTTTTCCTTTTTAAATAAAATCTCTCCCCAGACCATCATCACTTTTAATCTTCCCCAGACTGGGCTTCCTCTTCAGACCCTTCATCCCCGGATTTCTCAGGCGGGGGACTTGAAGACGTTTTCTTCTCCAGAGGGCTTTCTGGTTCCTCATCTTCTTTGGGAGAAGGAGTCTTTTCCTTTGATGCCTTTGAAGTTGTGGGGCGACCCACTTTCCCCTTGCCTTTCACAGGACTTGGCGTCACTGTGGCCTTTAGCCTGGGCTTCGGCATTTTCTCTTCTTTTCTCTCAGGCTTCGACTTCTTAACCATCTTTTTGTTTTTCTTTTTTGAACTCCCATAGTCACTAGCATCATCGTCTTCCATTAGAAATCCTCATCACTGCCGGAATTCTCCTGGAATGGCGTCTGGTCCTCCTCTTCTTGCTCTTCTTCACTGCCCACATCTTCCATGAGCATCTCCCTCTGTTTAGAGGCTGCTTTAGAGGCTGCCTGCCGTTGCTGGCGCACATTTTTATGATCTTCTTTTTCACCTTCACTGTCCCTTGCTGGATGAGAATCATCCTTCTTAGTCTTCACATCTTTTTCTTCTGAGTCCTCACTATCTTCCTGTGAATTCTTTGCAGATCGCCTCTTATTTTTAGCTTCTCGGGGAGAAGATCGAATTTTCTTAGCTGGAGGGCCTGAATCTCTTCCATAATCTTCATCAGCATCATCGGATTCCTGAAATTGTGAATAATCAACTACCTTCCTATTTCTGAAAGGCCGAGACCTGTCGAAACAGGACCGAGTCGAGGAGCCAAAGACCAGGACCCCCGCCCCGCGCGCTCGGCGCCCCATCCACCCCAACTTCGGCCGGGAAGCAGCCCTGAGCTGCTGGCGTCTCAGACTCCGCCGCTCCCTGGTTCAGGGCCCGTTAACCAGGCGAGCCCCCCCCGCCGACCCCGCTCCCAGTCTCTTCCTGGCTGAGGATTTAGCAGAAAGTCGGTTTGTCCACCTCCTTGAGTACCACCACCTGAGCAAGATAGCACCCGGTTAGACGTACGGAAGGACATTTCTGCCTTGCAAGCTTTGTTTATCCACAAGCATTCGGGAAGTCACTGACCGTGCTTAATCAGCCCATCGGACTGTATTGATGAAGAGGGTATATAAGTATATTAACATACACATCTTGGAACGTACCCCCTACCTCTTACTTTATAAGAAGGAAGGATTCTTTGTAGCTCCCAGAGTTTACCGGGATGATAGGGGGAACTGGAGAGAAAGTTAAGAGGAGGAGGTTGTTCACTGTTTAAGACAGGCTTAGTATTAACACTACCCTTGGGAGATGTGGAGAGCCATTCCTTTGTAAAGAGATTCCAGGAAACATACAAGACGCTAAGGCTCCAGGCAAAATTGTAAAATATTTGGGAGCTGTCTTTAGTGCTTTTCGGCTTTCTCTGCCCCAGGTCCCTGCTTTCTGTCTACTCACTTATGGGACTCTGAGTGAAAACTAACGTTATTGATACTCACTGAGCGCCTGTTCTACGCCCTCTTGAAGAGCTCCGTGGGTATTGGATCATTTAATCCTACAACCATACCCGCAAAATGTGGCCTCTTAAAAGTTAACTGAGACTCAGAAAGGTAAGATAACCTGGCCGGGGTCACAGAGGTATAAGAGGCAAGTCAAACCAGACTTGCCTGATTCCAGCAACCGTCTCCGTGCAGTTGTGGCCCAGACGGGGTGTCTGTAGGCAGCGCCCCAAGGCGGCAGAACTGCCTTCCCCCCTGCCTTTAGCCAACTCCACTCTTCTTGATTGTGATCTCTGATGCTCCTGGCTCTGTAGGGGTGGTGGGCTTGGGGAAATAACTCCGAGGAGATAGCAGAATTCAGGGTAACCTCTCTCAAGCATTGTTTGTGCCTAAAGGAAGAAAGCTTCAAGAGGCAGTTCTTTAAATGTTAACCGTGTGAGGGGCCTCACTGACAGTATAGAAGCTAATGGATTAGGTGGATTTGGAATGGATTCAGAGGAAATTTCTAGTAACTTTTCAAATATGCCCTTCAGGCAACTGCCTATTCTGCCTAGAAATAAGGACAGACTGCTTATGTGCTTTGGGAATGTGTGTATGTGCGTCCTTGTGTGTGTGTGTGTGTGTGTGTGTGTGTGTGAAGGAAATCAGTGTAGCAGACACAGATGAACCCAGAGTGAAAATTTGCTCTAATCTTTGTTAGACGCTCCCTTCTCTTAATCTTTGTGAGATTAGCATTCTCAAAACTAAAAGAACACTTGCTGAGCATTTGCTGAAACTCAGTAATAGGCACTAGTATATAAAGACTGACTTCAAAAAACAACCTGGTAGGGAAACTAAAGGTATACCTTTGTTGTAACAGTGATGAAGATGTTCACCAAGAATGGTGGGAAAGAGAGGGGCGCCTGACTCAGTCTGAGGGAAACCAGAGGAGGGTTCTGGGCCACGGAAGCAAGGTGTTGCTTGTTCTTGGAGAATGGATACAAGTTAAGACTGCAGAGCAGGGCGAGAGGCACTTAGGTGGGGTATGTAGGGAGATGAAGCATTTTGGTGTTGTGAAGCTAGTGGGGATGTAGCAAGGGGGAAGCTATTAATGTTCTAAGAAGAGAAATGTCAAAAGCCAACTTGCATTTTAAGTGTATGAGCTGGCAAATGAGTGTGAAGTTTGAAGAAACCGAGTGAGACAGATGTTGAAATTAATCATTGGTGATCAGATCCTAGTGACCACACTTCTACAAGATTGCCATTATTTGTATTCTGAACTATTCACCCTACTATTATTAATGGTTTTTGTTATAATTTGAAAATAGATTCAAGGGTTTAGATCTGATAGACAGAGTGTCTGAAGAACTATGGACGGATGTTCATGACATTGTACAGGAGGCAGGGATCAAGACCACCCCCAAGAAAAAGAAATGCAAAAAGGCAAAATGGTTGTCTGAGGATGCCTTATAAATAGCTGAGAAAAGATGAGAAGTGAAAGGTAAAGGAGAAAAAGAAAGATATACCCATCTGAAGGCAGAGTTCCAAAAAAGAGCAAGGAGAGATAGAAAGCCTTTCTCAGTGATCAGTGCAAAGAAATAGAGGAAAACAATAAAATGGGAAAGACTAGAGATCTCTTTAAGAAAATTATAGATACCAAGGGAACATTTCATGCAAAGATGGGCACAATAAAGGAGAGAAATGGTATGGACCTAATAGAAGCAGAAGATATTAAGAAGAGGTGGTAAGAATACACAGAAGAACTGTACAAAAAAGATCTTCATGACCCATATAACCACAATGGTGTGATCACTTACCTAGAGCCAGACATTGGAATGTGAAGTCAAGTGGGCCTTAGGAAGCATCATTACAAACAAAGCTAGCGGAAGTGATGGAATTCCAGCTGAGCTATTTCAAATTCTAAGAGATGAAGCTGTGAAAGTGCTGCCCTCAATATGCCAGCAAATTTGGAAAACTCAGCAGTGGTCACAGGACTGGAAAAGGTTAGTTTTCATTCTAATCCTAAAGAAAGGCAATGCCAAAGAATGTTCAAACTACTACACAATTGCACTGATCTCACAAGCTAGCAAAGTAATGTCCAAAATTCTCCAAGCAAGGCTTCAACAGTATGTGAACCGAAAACATCCAGATATTCAAGTTAGATTTAGAAAAGGCAGAGTAACCAGAGATCAAATTGTCAACATCTGTTGGATCATAGAAAAAGCAAGAGAGTTCCAGAAAAACATATACTTCTGGCTTTACTGACTATGCCAAAGCCTTTGACTGTGTGAATCACAACGAATGTGGAAAATTCTAAAAAAAGATGGGAATACTAGACCACCTGACCTACCTCCTGAGAAATCTGTATGCAAGTCAAGAAGCAACAATTAGAATCGGACATGCAACTGTAGACTGGTTCCAAATTAGGAAAGGATTACAAGGTTGTATACTGTCACCCTGCTTATTTAACTTATATGCAGAGTGCATCATGCAAAATGCCAGGCTGGATGAAGCACAAGCTGGAATCAAGATTGCCAGGAGAAATATCAATAACCTCATATATGCAGATGACACCACCCTAATGACAGAAAGTGAATACGAATTAAAGACCCTCTTGATGAAGGTAAAAGGGGAGAGTGAAAAAGCTGGCTTAAAACTCAAGATTCAAGATTCAAAAAACTAAGATCCTGGCATCCAGTCCCATCACTTCATGGCAAATAAATGGGGAAACAATAGAAACAGTGAGAGCTTTTATTTTTTTGGGTTCCAAAATCACTGCAGATGGTGACTGTAGCTATGAAATTAAAAGATGCTTGTTCCTTGGAAGAAAAGCTATGACCAACCTAGACAGCATATTAAAAAGCAGAGACATTACTATGCCGACAAAGGTCTGTCTAGTCAAATCTATGTTTTTTCCAGTAGTCATATATGGATGTGAGAGTTGGACCATAAAGAAAGCTGAGCACTGAAGAAATGATGTTTTTGAACTGTGGTGTTGGAGAAGACTCTTGAGAGTTCCTTGGATGCAAGGAGATCAAATCTGTCAATCCTAGAGGGACTCAACCCTGAATATTCATTGGAAGGACTGATGCTGAAGCTGAAACTCCAATACTTTGGCCACCTGATGTGAAGAACTGACTTGTTGGAAAAGACCCTGATACTGGGAAAGACTGAAGGCAGGAGGAAAAAGGGACAACAGAGGATGAGATGGTTGGATGGCATCACCGACTCGATGGACATGAGTTTGAGCAAACTCTGGGAGTTGGTGATGGACAGGGTAGCCTGGCATGCTGCAGTCCATGGAGTCACAAAAAGTCAGACATGCCTGAGCGACTGAACAGACTGATACTTTGAAAATGTTTTTTTAAAATCAAAGATACACTCACATAGTTATAAACTATTGCAAAGCAGTGCCCTGCCCTCCTTCATTCAACTCTAATCTTGTTGCACAAAAGCCATCATTTCTCTTTGAGTTATTTCTTCTTGTGGTTATTTCTCACCTCCAAAGGATCCTCTTCTGTCCCTAATTTGTGATTTGTTAATGCTAGGTATTATCAATAATTTCCTGTTATGTTATAGAAAGATGAACATACCCTCTCCCCTTTTCCCATATTTTCTTTTTTCCCATATTTTCATCATACTTATATCAGTTTTTTATTTCCTCTGTCAGTTACCAATCTATTTATATAAGTCTTGACCTGAAGTCCTTGGCTTCTAGTATCTGCACCCACTTAGAATCTCATGGTGCAAACAGAGGAGTGGGAAAGGAGAGGGTTGCTCCTAGGAGGTTCCAGCGAAGGAGCCTCCCACAATAGAACTACCCAAGTCTACTAACTGGAGAGATGTTTAGTTTATTAAATACCTGTGAGCTTACTC